AAAGAGGTCTTGTGTAGCAGGCGTTTCCAATGCAGTACGTTGTTTAATCTCTTCACTGAGCACTTCCAGGAGCACTGATTGGAGATCCAAGCAAGGGGAAATACTTGACAACTTCAATCTTTTCTCTGTTTATCTTGATGTTATCTACTCGTCAACCTGTGAGGATTTTGATTTTCTTTATGCTGAGTTGTAATCCCTACTGAAGGCTGCAATCCTTGATCTCCATCAGCAAGTGCTTCAGGTCCTCACTTTTAGCCAACAGGTTGTGCCATCTGCCTATCTCAGGTTAATAAGCCTTTCTATCATCCTGATGCTGCATTCTTCTTCATATAATCCAGCTTCTCTGATTATTTGGTTAGCATACAGATTGACTAAGTATGGTGAGAAGATACAACCTGATGCACACCATTCCTGATATTAAACCATGCAGTATTCCCTTGTTCTCTTCATAAACTGCCTATGATCCATGTGCAAGTTCCATATGAGCCCAATGAAGTGTTCCAGAATTTTCATACTTCTCAAGGCTATCCATAGTTTGTTATAATCCACACAGTCGAATGCCTTTGCATAATCAATACGTGTATAAAATTATAATAATTAACATATTCCATTTATTGGTATATAATATTTGGATATTTTAATTATTGGAACTTTATAAATTATTTTAATAATCTGATGACATGAATTTCTACTTAGTTTTTCAAAATGACTATTTTGTTTATTTTTCATGCTAACTTTTTAATTAGTTGGCCCAAGTTGAAGGAAAATATATTCTTAATTTTATTGTGATTTATTACATTTGTGAACATTTGGAATTATTAAGATTTTGCTTTTTGTCATCCACAAATATAATATTTTCTTCATTTTTGTACTACTATATATTGGTGACATTTTTTCCCATAATTAAAAAACGTTATATATGGGGTGATTTATTTAATACTTTCTGGTAATGAGTTATTTAATTCTCTGAGAAAACCTTCCAGCTGGTTCTCTTGTGGCTTTTCCATGAGCAATCATAATCATCTTTAAATAATGAGGGCTTTACCTCTTTCTTTCCACTTTTTATACTTCTAGCTTTCTTTTGGCTAATTCCATTGACTAGCATCTACAGAACATTGTTAAATAATAACAGTCACTGCTAACAGTGGGTATTGTAACCTTATTTCTTCGTTTAATGTGATTCTTCCTTTGCTTTATTAAAGATGCTGAAAGAACATTTGATATATTTTACTGCATTGTGTAAATGTTTATCCTTTTCTTTTTGATTATTTGTGAGAAGTTTAGCAGAACATTATGAATATAAGTTAACTTTTGTCAAATCCTTTAGCATAATTTATCATTAAAGAAGGCATTAGTGGTTCTTCTTTTTTTATATTCACAGTTTTTATAACATTGGGATTATCTGTTTCTTGGTTGTTTGGTAGAGTTTATCTATAACAGAGCATGGCTCCAGGTGCTGCTTAGATGGGCAGCCCTTTGATGTTTGTTTATTTTTCCTCTGGTAATAGGTTGGCTTAAATTTAAATAAATGCATTCTATCTTTTCTGGAGATAGTTTTGGTAAATTGTGTTTTCCTGAAAAACCATCCTTCTTCTCCAGGTTCTCAAATTCATTAGTCCAGATTGAACATAATGTGTTTAAGGATTTTTAAATTTTTTTCTTTAAAAAAAATAATTTTATTGGGGACTCTTACATCTCTTATCATCATGCATACATACATCCATTGTGTCAAGCACATTGTACATATGTTGCCATCATCATTTTCAAAACATTTTCTTTCCACTTGAGCCCTTGGTATCAGCTCCTCATTTTCCCCCCTCCCTCATCCTCCCTCTCTCATGAACTCTTGATAATTTATATATTTTTTCATGAGTTTTTTCCTTCTTTAAAAATAGTATCTCCTGTTCTTTTTGACTTTTCTGTTTATTTTTTCTTATGGTGTATAATTTATGTGCTTTCCTTTTTTTTTTCTTAGCTCTGATGAAGTTTACTAATGTTTTATTGTTCTTGAAGACACAAGTCTTGAATTTGCTACAATTTTCCTTTTCTTTCTTTTAACTTAAGAATTACCCCATGTCAATAGCATAGTTTATGCAAAAAAAAAAGAGAGCAGAAGCCACCTCTCTTTCTTAACTAAAATGCCTTCCTCCCTGTTTGCCGCATGAAGAGAGGAAAGTTGGGGTCTATGGTTTCCATGTGCTTCTTTTAGTTTCACTCTAATTGCATGTCTGAGAGCAACAAAGATGTTATTTTGTACACCTTATGACTTCATATAAATACTATGTTCATTGTTTTTTTACTTCCTGTTACATTTGTGGTGCTTACCTGGGTTTTACATGTATGTAACTCATTAATTTTCATGCTCTGTAATTCAGTAGATGGTCTGGTGCTCTGATCAGATATCCTTTTTATATCTGAGCATCTATTCCCCGCCCCCCTCCCCGTTCAGGCTGCATCCTGACCCATAGCTGCATCCCTTACTAGAAATTGTTCTTGGTCCAAGGTGCTGTCTGGGTCTAGGCTATGCTCCCTCCAGAGGTGTCCTGTGGCCAGTGACTAGGTGCTTTATTTACAAAGACCCAACCCTCATGTCTTCTTTCTAGACAATTCTGTAGGACATCTCAGTTCTATATTCTCATGTAGTATCAGCGGAAGCCCTAGATGAAATCTCTTTGGGTCAGTTTCTCCCCTATCCCCAACTCTGCTGGCTTCACTTCCTTATTGGTGTATCTTCCTGGAGCACTCCCCAGGGAATTTCCTGCACGCAATCCTCCCTCTCAGAGTCTGTTTCCAAAAAAAGTATCTAAGGCAGTTGATATTGCAGGTGTTCCTAGGAAGTTGACTCCAAAATAGGGTTTAAGAAATGGACTAATAACTGGATGTGTGGCTTGAATATATGTACATAGCTTGAATTTGCATTGAGACTATCATTGTGAGAAACCCAAGTGACCAATTAAAATCTTAATGCTCTGTTTTCTTAATATGAGTCTGTAAATTTGGTTATAGAGTTCCAGATGTTCTTGAATTTGAGATACAGTGGCTTATACCACTCTACAATGCTTTTAACTAGGTTCATTTAAGTAAACTAATTCTTAGTTCTTTGACAACAGAGATCCCATATAAGCTGACGTCTTATCCAAGTAGAGTTCCGATGCGTACAAGGCCCCATGGGAGTTGCGCGGGTGTTCATGACTGAAAGCAAAAAACCACGTGGAAAAAATACAGGAACAGGAGCATGAAACCACGCCTACTGCAGAGGCCAAGAAGAGGCCTGAGTGGGAGCTTGGGTCAAGGCCTACGTGGTGCCTGTGCAGGCTGGAGAGATTCCCACCCTCCTGAAAGAGAGGACTCAGAGTACTGGGGCAGGCTTTTACTCCCACTGGCTGGGGAGGAGTGGCTGAGGAATTGACTGATCCTACTGGCTGAATTTAGGCTGATGTCATGTGGCTGGGTTTAGTCTGTGTGACCAGGTGAATTTCCCACCTGGGCTTAGGGGGCTTGTGTCTGAGCATGCTCAGTTTGGATCTTTCCATAGGTGTTTAATGAGTGCCTGATTTTTAACAACCTCTTTGTCATGGCCCTGTGCAGGCATTGGGGAGACAACCCTATTCTGGCTACCTAACACATCTAGACATACTGGGTGTTAATGAGTCAAAATTGACATGATGGTGATGAGTTTTTGAACTTTATATAAAAACACGTACCTTGAAATATATGTACAAAACCCAAAATATTTTCTGCTTTTCTCTAGAAAAAAATTGTTTTTAATTCTCTTTCAAAGATAGGGTGTGGGGTAATCCCCCCCCCAAACCCGGAAATTGTGTCTGTAATGTGCTGAATTGGCAAATGTTGTGTTATCTCTATTTTTACAATGCTTTACAAATAAAAGGACCCCTGGTGGCGTAGTGGGTGTACATTGGGCTGCTTATCTAAAGGTCAGCAGTTTGAAACCTCTTGCCTGCTCTGAGGGAGAAAAATGAGGCCTTCTACTCCTCTGAAGAGTAGAAAGGGAAGGGCTGTTCTGCCCCGTCCTATTACATCATTATAGGTCAGAATGGACTTGATGCAATGAGGTTGTGGTTTTCAGGCTTGGGGGGGGGGGGGGGGGGGGGTTTAAAAATAAAATTTTTAAAAAGAAAGAAGAAATTTAAACCCTACTTGAAATTTGAGAAAATTAAGAACAATTTATAGAGTTAGCCTTTGTTGTTTAGTTTAGCTCTACCCCGTGTATCATACTCTGTGCAGTCTAATAGAAGGCTGTGCGGTCGTTTGGGAATTGTAATATATGATGGTGGGGGTGATTGCTCTGGAATTCGTGGCACCTGCATAAGCAGAGCAGAACTTCCCTGTAGACCCCGTAAGGAGTATTCACTCCTGGGGAAGCAGAGCTCCAGGCCTGTCTTCCGAAGTGCTTCTGCATGGGTTTGAACTGCCTATCTTTTAGGTCCTAGTTGGGCCTTTAACGTTGTGTGTTGTAGATTGGGAAAATGTTAAGTAGGTGGGTAGCTCATGCAAGTAAGATAAATGTTCTTATCCTTTTCCGTTTTCCCAGAAGTCTCTATTATACCATTTAAAACAATTTCATAGTTAACTCATACTCTTAAATATTCATAAACAACAAACTTTATTTACCATAGTATATATTAAAATCTTAAAATTATAAGTGAAATTTTCTTTTGTTTGTATGATATTATAGTGCCTATATGTGGTAGCATCTCATTTAACTAAACTTCATTGTAGCTTTTAATTCCAAATGGCCTTGGACAAGTTACTTAAGCTTCCTAACTCAGTTTTCCCACTTGTAAAATAGAAATAAAAACTTCTGTAGGGTTATTTTTGAGAACTTAGTAGGAAAATAACTGATTGGATGATGCTGATTATAAAATTCTTTTGTTTTTATTTGAAAATAGGATATATATTTGTATAAATAGAGTAGTGTCTTAAATGTAGTGTTAAAGTTATACTATTTTCTTTACAGATTATTTCTTTTGATTTCTCCCAATTTTGTCTCCTTGGGCTCTTTTGTTAGGTAAGTGGAATGTTTTATGCTTGTGTTGTTTTTGTACAATACTTTGTCTATATTTACATTAATACTAGAAGAGTACTTTAAAAATTCCAGTTAGGATTTAAAATGCATCTAGCCTATTATGATGGATTAAGTAAAGAAAAATCTTCAAATCTGTCTTAATAATCCAAACTATGTACATATGTACAACAAGTGACCTAATCCATGTTGTCATTGTGCATAAATGAATTAACAGTTTATACAATTTGGCTCTACGCCTTGTGAAAGAACCTTTCTATTAGATTCTTGGCATAATCTTGAAATGTAATTTTTCTTCTAAATTTTTAGACAATGGCAGAGATAAACTTTATTCAGTTTTTTATTTCTAATATTTAGGAAACTAATAATATTAATGGTCTATTAAAATTTCAGACAGTCCCATCGCAAGTTTGGATATGTAGTCCACCCCCCAGGGGGCCAAATAACAGAAAAATGGGTGAAGGGAGACAGTGGACAGTGTAAGACACAAAATAACAACAATAATATATAATTGATCAAGGATTTACATGAGTGGGGTGGAGAAGAGAGGGGGGGGGCGGGAAGCTGAAACCAGGGAGTCAAGTAGAAAGAAAATGTTTAGAAATGTTGATGGCAGCATATGTACAAGTGTGCTCAATACAATTGAATGATGGATTGTCATAAGATTTAAAAGAGCTCCCCAATAAGATGATTTTTAAAATTTTCTGACTATATTTGGTTCGAAAGTAGTGCTCAGGTTTTATTGTGGAAGCTTATTTGAGAACTCATACAGTGAATTTGGTTTTGCCAGAGAATGAGAGACAAACTCTGCTTCGATGAATTTACTTGATAAACACATCATCCTGTGTCTGATATTCCCTTGGAGCCCTGGTGGCACGGTGGTTAAAGTGTTCAGTGACTGCCAAAAAGGAAATCAGCTCAACGTCACCAGCCTCTGCAGGAGAGAAGTGTGTGTGGCAGTCTGCTTGTGCAGAAATTACAGCCTCATACGCAAACGCTGTGCTCTGGGCTACTATGAGTTGGAACTGATTCCCTGGCAGCAGGCTGTGGGTGTCATGCTCCTGAGTATTAAGCGGCCCACTGGCAAATCACGTTGTCAGTATGTTCTTCTGCCCTTTCTCTCTGTGCCACATCCTTTCTCTTGGCTTCCAAACCTGAACATCAAATAACCATATTTACTAAGCATTTGATGTTGTTGAATAGAATCAGTAAGATGAGGGAAGGCCTGAGAACTCTCATTCCTCACTAGTGCATGGGTTGTGGGAAAGCTAATTTGAGATCTGGAGAGATGAGCTAATTTTCCTTATTTCTGAGCTTAGAGTTTTGTTCCCATGTTTAACTGCTAGATAAATAGATTTGGGAATATGAAGCACGATTGTATTCAGGAAATGAGCAAGCATTTATTTGAGTTACTAAAGAATTATAGAATATAACAAGAATGATGGCGCTTTTAAAGAATTAGAATGCAAATAATTTTACTTAATCTTCATTGAGGAAAATATATTATCTTTGTTTCATATGCTGCAACATCTTAGTTAAAATTGCTCACAGGCTTACCACTAATCTAAAAAAACGAGAAGGTTACATCTGCATCTGGTCCGCAGCTCCCCCTCACAGCAGGCCCTTCCTCTCGCCTTTTGTTTCAGGTGCACGCACCATCCATCAGCCCAGGGAATCACTCTTGAGCTTTCCCTTATCTTGTTCCCATGGCTGGAATGTCCACTCCGTGCTTAGCCAGTGGCTTACTCAGGTTTAGACTGTTTTGCTTTTAGGGAGCTGAGCTGGAATTTCACTTCTTCTAAAATCCTCTCTGAAACGCCAGACTCTAGCTCTTTTATTCTACATTAGCCCTTTGCATCTTTCATATCTCCATGCGAGCACTTGTAGTCATCTTCGCGCAGCAGTACACTGTGATGATCATTGTTTAATGTCTTCTTAGTTAAAATGTAGACCCCATGATAGCAGAATCTGTTTCAAATAGTGTCTTTAATGCCCATTGTGGTGTTTGACATTTGGCATGCAATAATAGATATTTGTTAGATAAATAGTACTTTGAAAACATTATTTCAATGGACACAGATGATGCTGGAAAAATTATTATTTTAAAAATCATTTTACTGGGGGCTCATACAGCTTTTATCATAATACATACATATATCCATTGTGTCAAGCACTTTTGTTGCCATCATCATTCTCAAAATATTTTCTTTCTACTTCAGCCCTTCTTCATTTTTTCCTTCCCTCCTTCACCCTTCCTCCCTCAGAACCCTTGATAATTTATAAATTATTATTTTTCATGTCTTACACTGACCGATGTCTCCCTTCACCCACTTTTCTGTTGTCTGTCTGGGAGGGGGTTATATGTAGAGCATTTCAATCGGTTCCCCTTTTCTCCCCCCACCTTCCCTTTAGCCTCTTGGTATCGCTACTCCTTGGTCCTCAGGGGTTTAACTGTCTGAATTCCCTGTTTCCAGCTCTTATCTGTACCCATTTAC